TCCCTCCTCTTCATGGACGGGCCCTCCTCCCCGGTCCCGGAGCTGTGAGAGATGGCCTCGGCCGACAGCGAGGTGAAGACTCTCCTCAACTTCGTCAACTTGGCCTCGAGCGACATCAAGGCGGCCCTGGACAAGTCGGCTCCGTGCCGGCGCTCCGTCGACCATAGGAAGTACCTACAGAAGCAGCTCAAGCGCTTCTCCCAGAAATACTCCCGCCTGCCTCGCTGCCACCATCACCACCACCACCTGCAGCAGCAGCAGCAGCAGCAGCCTCAGCCCGCCAGAGAGCGGAAGGCGCCTGAGGAGAGAGCGCGAGGAGGCCTCGAGGCTCCCGTCGGCCGGGGCGACAGAGACAGCAAGGCCTGCAAGGCCGCAGAGCCCGGCGAGCAGCAGCAGGGCGTCTCTGAGGCGACCGCTAGGCCCGACCAAGTGCCCATGAGGAAAAGGCAGCTGCCCGCCTCATTTTGGGAAGAGCCCCGGCCGGCTCCGGGCCCTCTGGGCGGGAACGGCGTCGCCTTCCCGGCGGGAGCCGCTTCCAACTCCTCGTCACCGTCGTCGTCCTCCTCCTCCTCCAAGGACTTGCCCGTCCTTGAGGCAAAGAAAAGTAAAAAAAGCCCGGATGGCGGGACGGTTAGCGCTGCCGAGAGCCCGCCGGGAAGCAGGCCGGACGCTGAGGCCGCGCAGGTGCTGAGCGCCTGGAGCTGCTGTCCATTTCAGTACCACGGACCGCAAGCCTCTCCCGGCGTCTACCCGCCGCCGCTCGCCGCCTCCCTTCCGCCGGTAGGCCCCTTCCCGGGCCTGGGCCTGTGGAGGAAAAACGCGGCCTCGCCGGCGGAGGGAGAGCCCTTCCGCAAGGCGGGCGGCGGCGGGGCAGGCCCGAAAGTGCACCGGCCGGTGGTGTGGAAGCCCATCCCCACCAAGCCCGCCGCGCCGCCCCCCATCTTCGGCGTCTTTGGGTACATCTAGGCCTGGCGGGCCTGTAGTCGCCGCCGCCTTGCGAGGGCCTCGCCTTTCGCTGGACCGTCCGCAGCGCCGCCTCGCCGGCGATGGAGGGAGCGGGGACAAAGGCCTGAAAGAATAGCCGGCCTGATTCTTCTCTCCCTCTCTTGTGTGGGGCGAGAATCCGGACCCCTGCAAGGACGGACCACCCGCGTTCTCCCCCTGGCTGGGTTGGCCAAGGAGGCATCAGGAACAAAAAACATGATGGTGAATTTATTCAGGAGTTGGCTACCTCCCCCCCCCCCGTACAGTTGCAGAAGAGGATGTGCCAGGAAAGTGCAAGGCTTCACTGCCACTAATATGGGCTTCTGCAAACGAGAACTGCGTTCCTCCTGGCATGTAAATACCAAGGGCACTAAAGCAAATAAAAAGCCAATGAATTGTTTTCTTTGAGCCTCCACCCTTCAAATGCTTTCAGATGGGGAAGTCTTTGCCTTCCTGTCTGCAAAAGAAAGATGAAAGGGAGCTGCTTTGCTTCTCCTGCATGTATGGCAATTGCTCTTTCCACCTGTAGTTGTTGAGTCTGGCCTCTAGGCCAGGGATGGGGATGTTTGGGGCTGAATATGGCCTACCAGAAGGTAGTTTGGGGCTGAATATGTTTGGGGCTGAATATGGCCTACCAGAATATGTCTGACCCTGGAGGTTCTCTTTAGCCCATTCTGCTCACCACAGCCCTACTCTGTGCTTCCCTCCAGTGTTTCAGCTAATCTGGAATGTGTCATTGAATATAATGATGCCTCTCGCTTGCCTGGATGGAGATCCATGCATGTGTAGAAGAACATGAGGCTTTTGTATTGCTGGAATGCAGCCAACTGGCATGCAGCCCCCAAAAGATTGCTCATAAGAGAAGGTGGCCCTCCAGCTGAAAAAGGTCCCCCACCCCTGTTCTAGGGGTGATTCCCAGCTCTGCATGATTCTCTCTGGGTGCTTTTGTCAGCTTGAAGCAAGTGGTCTTGCACTGCTCTCACCAGGCATCCACTACACACTCTGGGATGAGAGACTTTCCATCAGGATATGTGTTAAAATCTTTTTATCACTGACAAGCAACGTATGCCTTTGGAAACACACGTTTGTTACGGTGGGAAGGGGGCATACTAGAGGCAGAGGATGTGCTTTGTATACCAAAACCTAAGACTTAGGATCAGTCCCTACAACTTACAAGTAGAAGGATCTCATATAGCAGGTATAAAAAAAGATCTCCTGATGCTTGAAAGCTTACAGACCGTTGCCAGTCCACGCAGAACATACTTGGCTAGACCAAATAAAGCTGCTTCATTATTTGCAAATAAATGTTTGGGGGAGCAGGGAGGTGGGGGAGAAAGAAGTGATTTATGTAATGTTGCATTGCACGTTATTGCAGAAAGTGCCATGTATACAACCGCTCAATTATTTTGCTGGATATAACGGCAGTGGCAGTGTTGGTTCTGAGTGAGGTTACAACCAGGTCCCGCTTGCAGGCTTCCACTAGGCATCTGGGTGGCCACAGTGAGAAGAGAATGTTGGACTTTGAGTTGGTCCATTGGAGCTTTTATGTTCCCTGTCTACCTTTTAAAAGCAAGAGTTGCATGGACCTCTGGGACACGTGTGGTGCTGTGGGTTAAACCACAGAGCCTAGGACTTGCCGATCAGAAGGTCGGCGGTTAGAATCATCGCGACGGGATGAGCTCCTGTTGCTCGGTCCCTGCTCCTGCCAACCTAGCAGTTCGAAGGCACATCAAAAGTGCAAGTAGATTAATAGTTAACGCTCCGGCGGGAAGGTAAACGGTGTTTCCATGCGCTGCTCTGGTTCACCGGAAGCAGCTTAGTCATGCTGGCCACATGACCCGGAAGCTGTACGCTGGCTCCCTCAGCCAATAAAGCGAGATTAGTGCCGCAACCCCAGAGTTGGCCACGACTGGACCTAATGGTCAGGGGTCCCTTTACTAGCTTACTAGCAAAAGAGCCCTAAATTTTATGGATTTGGTTTTGCTCACTAATTCAGTGATATGAACTAGTTCTCATCAAAACTAGACTAGCTTAAACAGATTGGGAAACATGGGACAGATGTGAGTGCCCTATGAAGGAGGAATATATTTAAATGGGGGGAAATCATGGTGGATAGATCTGTCAATGGCTACCAGAAATAATGGCTAAATAGAATTCCATGTTTAGAGGCAGCAAGTAACTGGATACTAGTTGCCACAGAGCAGCAGTTGGAGAGAGCTGCTGTCTTCATGTGCTGCTTGTGAGCTGCCCGGAGCCATCTGGTTGGCAACTGTGAAAAACAGGGTGATGTTAGATGCATTTTTGGTTTGAACTAGGAGGTCTCTTCTTACATTTGAAAGATTATACGGCTCTTGCAGATACATGACCTAGTCCCTAGAGGGCTTTTTCTAAGGTGTTCTCTTAGAGCAGGTTTGTAAACAGCAACTTTCTTAATCACCTGTTGCGAGTCAGAATTGGCTATAGGTGACCAAGCAGGGAAACTATATAAATTGAAACATAGTCTGCATACTCCACTGCTACACTGTTTAATGTTGAATAAAATAATGGGGTCAAGAGAAATAGCACAGGCGCCATTTAGGAAGGGTGATAGGCAGTCCCTTCCCTTTTCATATTTCAGACCACATGTGATTATTCCTCAGTATCATTTACATGTTTCTGGTTTATTATGCAGTATTTTAAAAATGTTAATAACCACAACCTGTGTTCTTGAAGCACACCGTATTTTTGCAATTTAATCTTTAACATATCCTAGACTCTCCATTTAAACCTCGTTATCAATCTTGCTTTTGAAATACCAGAATCATGAAATGTCTTGCAAATCTTTAATGCTCTTGTGTGTGAAGGTAGCTTGAAACTTTCCAGGGACTCTTTTTGAGAGCATATGCTCTTTAATTAGTTAATTGTTATCTTCTAGATATTAACTATAGCGAAAGTAAATAATAAGAGTCGTGCCTTCACTGACACGAGGAATGTAGACTTTACTAGAATGTCATGTATTTACAGAAACAGGACAGTCGAACTGTGACTGTAAGCCAGCCAGCACTGTTTGCAAGCTGTTATCCATTCAGAGTAGACTTCAATCACTTGCTGCATGCCTCAATGACTGCACAGGTGTCAAATTGTGTGCCCTCAAAAAGCAGCAGTGAGGGTCAAAATCTGTCTTTTATATTATTCTTCCTGCACCCTTTTTGGAGTTACTTAGCAGGACAAAGCAAGTGTAAGAGCTGGCTTGTAAACAGCCACTTACCTCATCACCTGTGATGAGACAGAATTGAATATAGGTAACCAGGCAGAGAAGCTTTTGTAAACTGAAACATTTCTCTTTCTTTCAGTCTGGCAATGTGCCACAAATGGCTAATGTACGTATATGTGGGCAGGCTAGTAAACATTTGTGGACTGATAACTTTGGGGAATTTATTTCCCAGGCTGTTCCAGTGTGCAAGAAGAATTATATTTCATGCCATTGTATTTTGACTTACCATTGCATCATATAAAAAAATATTTTGCCAGCATGGGGGGTGGACATGTGTTTTGAGGAGGAAGAGACTGAGGAACAAGTGTAGGAAGCTTATGCATATCATTGTGATTCTGGCTTCAATAAGCTTACCATGACACTTCTTATCTACCCAGAGCCCACAATGACTACGTGCAACCTCATGTACTCACTTCAGTGAAGGAAGCGACTCCTCCTGCTCATTGGTTTGTGCATGTGTGCAGCTATGCCCACTCCAGTGAAGTGATTAGGAATGTTTACTCATGTCAGAGCTCTGTATCAAACACACATAAAACTCCAGATCAGCCTACAATGCCTCATAAGTTCATGGTGTGAGGAAAAACAGCAGCACATCACATTTGAAAATGCAGTTTTCTCTGCAGCAATTATTATGGTTTAGACTGGCTCAGATTTCTTCAGTCTAAACTAATTTAGGCCCTTCCATGTGCACCGCCTAGCACTGAAATTCCTTATTTAGGTGATTAATAATAATAATAATAGTTTTAAAAATAGTCACAGCAGGTACTTTTACTCATATTTAATGCAGGCAATAAAACCTAAAAATATAACACTTTTATCAATACTGCACACACCCATCCCTCCCGACCAAACCCCACAGTTTATAAAAGCTATAGTAACAAAACTAAAGGCTTCAAAAGTGCATTATGACACAATCATTGCACACATGCCTATGGAAATAATACATCAATCAGGTCACAGAATGCTAGAATCTTCGGGGGCGGGGGCTTTGGCTATTCCTTGCATGTTAAATATATATGCTGGCTAGGATTTTTTGACCATCTGTTAATGCATTCTACCATTCTATATCCTGGAATTGCAGGACTTGTTATATAAAGTAGTAAATATTCTACCTTTCAAATTTACAACCATTTCTATACATCTCCATTGAATTTTATAAAAGGCACTTGAGTTTGTACAAATTTGGTATAACTAGTGAAATGTGTGTTGTGAAAATTCAGTTCCCCAGATCCAGGAATTCACTGGTGCAGCAGAAAGACTGGGCCTATATTTCCCCAGCACAGATTGCTGCATGAGGATTTAAGTGGGGTAACTTGTGCCGATTTGCATTCATTAACCCAGTGTTCAAACAGTCTTGTACTCATCCAGTAGCCTTTTTCAAATCCAGTCCAGCTAACCTGTGCATGAAAACCTTTCTGTAAATGGCTTTCTGTTGCTAAATTGGAGGGGGGGGGAGAGTTGGAGAGGTAGCATGCATGCACTATGTGCAAATAAATGTAAACCAACCATGTAGAAAAGATGGTGAAAAGAATCCAGTGAAAGTACAATTGTCAGGGGAGCTTTTAAGCAGACTATTCCCCACCTCCCACCCCAATTTATGCGCATAGCTAGCGACACCTTTATCTCCTGAGGTTTGTGCTAACTTTTTGCACTATGGATCCAATCGGCTCAACTAGGGTTGTTCCTAGTATATGTGCATGTGAATGGGGAAGTCTGATCTCCAGGCTACGCATCCATGTATGATGGGAGAAAAGCCTGGGAGAGTATTGTCTCTGCTTCTTTTTCTTCAATATCTTGGATAAAAGAGTTTCTTTAAAAAAAAAAAAGGAGCTGACCACACTCCTATATGTTATAAACCCTGGACTGTTAGTTCAAGAATTAGTACTGTTGTTCCATTCACAACCAGTTAGAACATTTCAAGCTATAAACAAAACTGAAGCCTTGTTACTATACTGTACATGGGAATTGTATTTTTTTTTTTTTACTCAGTAGTCAAACCTGGGCTATGTGTTCCTTATTACACCCTACCCCTGCTTTCAAATGTGAAAATCTGAGACCATTCTCTCTGCAAAAAGTGCCATGCAGTCTATTTTGGGCATCTCCACCAAGCTCTTTTGAGATGCATGTAATGATGTGCTTGATTCTGCTGTGGTGCCTCAGCTTCAGAGTCACTAGGGTTGTTCCTGTTGTCACTCTTCTCAGACAATAACTAACGGCTGTAACCTTGAACTACAGCAAGTGGAGGACAAATTGTATTTACCTGAGAGATCTATTTCACTGGTATGCGTTGGTAAAGAAATGGCTGGTAAAGGAAGGGTTAAAACCATGACACTTCTTCATGAAAGGGTTCAACATGAAGAGAATGCCAATGGAAGATAATCACAGGCATCAGTGAAAGTGGGTGGACAATTTGCCTCACAATGGCCTATTTAGCTCATTTAAATGCATCTCAGCCAAGTCATGGTTCCACTTTGAAGGAATTGTTCTAAGGTTTAACAGCAAACTTAGTTACTGCTTCATACATACAAACTGTAAGTCATTCAGTGTTAAAAATACTCTGCTTCGATTGTTGCTTAGGCATCATCCAGCTAAGCATCTGAGTTCCCAAATCACAACCCAAGTTATGCCAGAGTATTTGAACTGAAGCGGATTCAATTGTTTTTCTGAAGCCCTGCAAATAACTGCCAGTGTTTTGCAGCAACAATACATCGATCATTTTCTTCTTTCCAAAGCAATGCAAGTGCTGAATCAGCTCTTTCCTTCATTACTGCTTTAACAGAAGGGTTAAATACCATTGGCTTCAGTGACATAAGAATTGAAGGCTGATGTAGTATAATAAACTAAAACAGAATTCCACCTCGTTCCTTTGCCTATTTAATATAATACACATAATTATTGTGGGTTAAATCCTTCAGCTCACACACTTTGTTAAGTCTTTGTTTAATTTTAATTGGGGGTCACAATTTTTTTACGAGATCCAGTATTTACTAAATGACTAACGTGGGAACAAAAATATTGTCAAAGACTTTGATCACTAAGGAAGAAAGTCAACTATATATCCAGAAAGGCCAACTAAACTAGACAAAAATGTAAGGTGGTATCAAATGAGACACAAATAGCAGCCAGAAGGTTTGATCAATCCTGCAAACTAAACCAAACTGCAGCTCAACTAATTGGTAATTGAAATGTAACTATTACTGGGGAATTTTAGATCTTTGCATTAGAGTGAGATGCTTTTGAATATAGGACCATTCCAGAAATACATTTGCTGTCCATGTGAGCAATCCTGATTGCTTCTGGTGTACAACCAGTTATGCAGACAAATACAATGTGTGAACTGGCAGATGATGAATATAGTTGACAATAATTCATGTGATTGCCACAGGTGCAAAAACAAAATAAATGCCACTACATTTATTAAAATTGTGTGGAATCATCTGGTTTATACATTACATTTGTCTGTGTGAGAGCATACTTAGGGATTGCTTGTGTCTTGTGAACTCTTCCAAATTCTCCTTAACATGTGATACTGAGGTGTTTAGAACTTTTAATGTTTCTCTCTACAAAATAGCATAGCACTTTCTTGCCATGTGCTACCAGTGTCTTTAATCCCAACTTCTTCACTTATTTTCTATACTCTAAATACTGTTGGATTTGCCTTTTCTGCAATTCTGATTTTCAGATATCCTTTTTCCTTCTTAGATAGCAAAGCCGGCCTTTCCTTCCATTATCTCAGTCTGTCTCCATCTTGTGGCTGTCACTCTAGCAAATGATTGACTGCCAAGTTCACCTTAGGTCAGCGAGTATAATCATATTGTAAATAGCGCATCAGTCTCCCTGGAAGAGGCAAAGTGTCAATAAGAGAAATACGGCTCTTCCCAATCAGACTTCGAATTTTGATCCGGCAGAGGTGAGCAAGTGGCCTTGGTGGCTCTGGAAAAGAGAATATATGGTAGGGTAAGTGAGCTTTTGGGGGCCTGAAATAGTCACCAGAGAACGTTATGAATTTTTTTTACAGAAGCAAATGTCTTCACTAATTAGTTTTTGAAGTTTCCAAACTTAAACCCTTCAATAAAAAATCCCAGGGTGGTTTGCATAGTTTAGTCTCAGGCTCTCACTTCCCCCTGCCTCTTCTGGTGAAAGGGGGAGTTTGAAAACTTTAGTTTCTATTTTAGATTACTCGGAATTATTTTAACTAACCTGCTTTGTATTTAATGCCAGCCCAGTCTTCATAACTGTCAATGTGCTCCTTGAGCCTGGAACAAAGTTGCACATTGCCCACATAATCCAGAAGAACATCGATAATAGGCCCAGCCCAACGACTCATCTCCGGAGTTGATACCATTTCACAAAACTGGGGGCAAAGACGAGAAATACAAAATTTGTTATTGTAGGAGAACAGCAACAGACACCCCCGCCCACCCTTTCCCCAAATCCAAAGTAGACCGCTAGCAGGCAACCTGCAATAGAGGTGGTAGAAGGTCATGAACTTTACAGGGAGAGCTCTGATTTACAACAGATTCACCTGGTTGCCTTCCAATCAAGATGCGGGAAAGCAGGTCTACATGTCATACAGAAGGATATCGCAGAATCCTTGACCCTATCATTTAAAGTTAGAGGTGGGGAGCATGCATTCTGAATGCTTGCATTTAGCATAAAGCTACAGGGCCTACAGGCAGAGGGCCTTCTCGGTAGTGGCGCCCGCCTGTGGAATGCCCTCCCATCAGATGTCAAGGAGATAAACAACTACAGTGGTACCTCGCAAGACGAACGCCTTGCAAGACGGAAAACCCGCTAGACGAAAGGGTTTTCCGTTTTGGAGGCGCTTCGCAAAACGAATTTCCCTATGGGCTTGCTTCGCAAGACGACAGCCCATAGGGAAATCTCCGGGACAGCGGGGAAGCGCAGCGCGTCTTCCCCGCTGTCCTCGGACCTCCTCCGAAGGCTGGCGGCAGGGCGCTGGGCTTCGGAACGATGCCCCAATGCCGGGCGGCGGGCGGGAACGCCTCCCCCGCCGCCCGCCATCGGGACCATGCCCCGATGCCGGCCGGCGGGCGGGAACGCCTCCCCCGCCGCCCGCCATCGGGACCATGCCTCGATGCCGGCCGGCGGGCGGGAACGCCTCCCCCCGCCGCCCGCCATCGGGACCATGCCCCGATGCCGGGGGCGGGCGGGAACGCCTCCCCCCGCCGCCCGCCATCGGGACCATGCCCCGATGCCGGGGGCGGGCGGGAACGCCTCCCCCCGCCCGCCCGCCATCGGGACCATGCCCCGATGCCGGGGGGTGGACGGGAACGCCTCCCCTCGCCCCCGCCATCGGGACCATGCCCGATGCCGGGCGGCGGGGACGGGGCGGGGCATGGTCACCGCCGCCGGCGTTTAAAAGCACTCTGGGGAAAGCAGCGAAGCGCGCTGCTTTCCCCGAGCATCGGGAAGTCCGGCGTGGGTCCTTGGGATTCCCTCCCAGCCCCCGCCTTTAAAAGCACTCCGGGGAAAGCAGCAAAGCGTGGCGCGTTTTGTTGCTTTCCCCGGAGTGCTTTTAAACGCGGGCGGCTGGGAGGGAATCCCTTGGACCCTCGCCGGACTTCAAAAGAGCTGCGGGAAGTCCGGGGGGGTCCAAGGGATTCCCTCACCGCCGCCCACCTTTAAAAGCACTCCGGGGAAAGCAGCAAAGCGCGGCGCACTTTGTTGCTTTCCCCGGAGTGCTTTTAAACGCGGGCGGCTGGGGGGGGGGGGAATCCCTTGGACCCTCGCCGGACTTCAAAAGAGCTGCGGGAAGTCCGGGGGGTCCAAGGGATTCCCTCCCCGCCGCCCACCTTTAAAAGCACTCCGGGGAAAGCAGCAAAGCGCGGCGCGCTTTGTTGCTTTCCCCGGAGTGCTTTTAAACGCGGGCGGCTGGGAGGGAATCCCTTGGACCCTCCCCGGACTTGAAAAGAGCTGCGGGAAGTCCGGGGGGGTCCAACGGATTCCCTCACCGCCGCCCACCTTTAGAAGCGCTCGGGGAAAGCAGCGCGCTTCGCTGCTTTCCCCAGAGTCCTTTTAAACGCAGGCGGCAGTGAGGGAATCCCTTGGACCCCCTCCGGACTTCCCGCAGCTCTTTTGAAGTCCGGTGGGGGGAGAAGGGCTTTTCTTCCTACCACCAGCCTTCAGAACAGCCTTCTGAAGGCTGGCGGTGGGAAGAAAAGCCCTTGTCCCCCCCACCCAGCCTTCAGAAGAGGTCAGGGGACAGACTGTCCCCGGACCTGGTCTGAAGGCGGTTTCCCTAGGAACGCATTAATTGATTTTCAATGCATTCCTATGGGAAACCGTGCTTCGCAAGACGAAAAACTCGCAAGAAGAAAAAACTCGTGGAACGAATTAATTTCGTCTTCCGAGGCACCACTGTATCTGACTTTTAGAAGACATCTGAAGGCAGCCCTGTTCGGGGAAGTTTTTAATGTTTGATGTTTTGTCACTTTTTTATATATTCTGTTGGGAGCCACCCAGAGTGGCTGGGGGAACCCAGGCAGATGAGTGGGGCATGCATGCATGCATGCATGCATAAATAAATATTATTATTATTATTATTATTATTATTATTATTATTACTACTATTACTACTACTACCCATTCCTGCATGTAGCAAGCAAGTATACCGGGGAGAAATATTTAACTTGGCCCACTCTCTGATGTGTTTGTTTACATCACGGTCAGAGCTTTCAAAACTATGACCACATATATCCTGAAGTGGCAAAATCTAGAATTCTACCACCTCAATTTGTGTGCTGTGCAGATCAACTCTAAAATGTGGCCTTTCGTGGGCGGCCCTTGACAGTGGCTGTAAGTTCCTGTATTGTATGTCTGGTCATAGGAAACTCTGAAATGCATAGCCTAAATAGCTTTGTGTTCCTCGTCCTTCACTCCATTCAGGAATGAGGAACTTCTGTCCCTCCACATGTTGTTTGATCCCAACCCACATCAGCCCTAGCCAGCAAGGCCAAAGGGAGCTTCCACCCACCTGGAATGCCTCAGGTTTCCCCATCCCTGTTTCTGCTGCATAGTGCTGACTCCATGATTTGCCCACATGCATTCATAATGGATTCATAATGGAAAATGCAAGGCTGCAGAAAATCTGAACATTGCAGCTCTGCCTGGCACATTGCAGCACCCAACTCCAAACAAACCAGTATCATCATGAGAAAATATTGTTCTAGATATTAAATTCCATATTAACAGAAGCATCTCCCAATAAGATGGCCCTGAAAGTAAAATAAGTATTCTGCAGATGTATGAAGTGTGATTCTGGAAGAAAACAAGAACAAATCGCGCTGCTGCTGCTAACAGCTCTTATTTCACTCTCTGTGAAATAGTTTAAATGCCCTCTAGTGGCGTTCAGATAAATTACTTCTCAAGGTTACATCCTATATATATACAGTGGTACCTCGGGTTAAGAACTTACAGTGGTACCTCAGGTTTAGAGCTTAATTTGTTCTGGAGGTCTGTTCTTAACCTGAAACTGTTCTTAACCTGAGGTACCACTTTAGCTAATGGGGCCTCCTGCTGCCGCCGTGTGATTTCTGTTCTCATCCTGAAGCAAAGTTCTTAACCTGAGGTACTATTTCTGGGTTAGCGGAGTCTGTAACCTGAAGCGTCTGTAACCTGAAGCGTCTGTAACCCGAGGTACCACTGTACTAAGAGAGCAAACCCACCCCCCAAATGCCTATTTTACTTTAGCCCAAAACAGCAGGATTTATGCACCAGAGGGAAGTATCGGCAAGCTTCGGTAAGCCCCAGTGTTTGCAGAGGTACAAACAACTTCAGAAAATAGTGTCCTGGAAGAGGGCATGGCTAGCTGGTTGGAACTCTGAACAGTAATATTCCACACTGCAACATTCTGCTGCAGGCCCCACTTCTAAGAGAGGCAACGTCTGATTTGGGTGTGTCCAAATGATGCACACTTGCACACCTGCAGATGGTGCCAAACCTGGAAGTAGCCCCAAAGTCACAAAAATGTCACAAAAAGGGATGGGGCAGGCAGGGTGGAGTGGGCTGGGCTTACATGCTCTCCACCAATGTGTGCAGGGGTCTGGAACAGGACCTCCACACAAAACGAGGGTTGCCTGTATGCTATTAACATTACCCATTTCTCATTCATTCATGCATTCATTTAATTTGTATGCTGCCCTTCTTCCTGAAGGAGTCAAGGGCAGCAAACCGTCCACATTTTTTAAAGAAAGAAAAATATATCTAAAACAGTTAAAACTTTATAAAAACAGTTCCAATTCAAAACATTATTTCAGCCACTGATCTCAGATTTTCCCCTGAACTTCAGCTACCAAATGCCTAGGTAAGCAGGAATAGTTTCCGCTTCCACCTCCCTGGGCATGTGATTATTTCCAGATGTTTTGGTCTTAGAAATTTCTTTACACTGCTTGGGACCTCACTTATCTCCATCGTAATCCTGTGAAGTTGGTAAGATTTATTATTTATTAAATTCATTATACAGTGGTACCTTGGTTTAAGTACATAATTCGTTCCGGAGGTCTGTTCTTAACCTGAAACTGTTCTTAACCTGAAGCACCACTTTAGCTAATGGGGCCTCCTGCTGCCGCTGCGCTGCTGCTGCACGATTTCTATTCTCATCCTGAAGCAAAGTTCTTAACCCGAAGCACTATTTCTGGGTTAGCGGAGTCTGTAACCTGAAGTGTATGTAACCTGAGGTACCACTGTACCGCCCTTCATCCAGACATCACAGGGTGGGTTACAACATAAAAGCACAAAATGCACAAGATGGACAGATGTTGCATTCATTAAACAGAATTTCTTATTCAATAGGAAATATTGGTGGCTGACTCGAGAAATATATATATGAGCTATCTAATATGAGCCCATAAGAAGTTTCAAAAACATCTGACATCCAGTAGTTTGGGAGTTTTATCAAGTATCATTAACCTTTCTATGATGCCTTTTTTCCATAGGATTATGCTGTTCAGCAAATTACTCAGCTAGCTCTCTGCTGTATTGTTACCCAGACTGGTAATGGTTCTCTCGAATTTCAGAATGAGGCATTTCCCAGACCAACTTTACATACTTCAAACCAGCCTTCCCCATTCTACTGCCCTCCATATGTTTTGGACTACAATTCCCATCATCCCTAACCATTACCCATGCAGGCTGGCGCTAATGGGAACTATAGTCCCAAACATGCAGAGGGCACTGGATTGAAGAAGGCTGCTTTAGAATGAAAAAGCTGGTGACTGGACCTGAAGACTTTCCTAAGAAAAGGCCATAACCACAGCTCCTCCAAATGTCACAGAAAATACGAGCTAGTAAGGGTAGACTCACCTGTACAATGCTCTGCTCTTTATTCACCTGGGGATCATGATACCTGTCTCTCTTAGCTTCAATGGGAGGATGTGGGCCACACCCATACTGACATTTAAAGCAAGAGATGGCATCGCAGCCTAGATCCATCAGAAATTTCAGCAGAGAAAGATACTTCATCGAGAACATGATGGTAGCAGGGAAGGTGGTTGGATGGGAAGCGACGTAGGCATCAATATTGGCTCCATAGTCAATAAGCAGCTTTATCATCTTCAAGCAGCCATGGCGGATGGAGATGAGCAGGGGGTTGATGAGGTCGACGTTGGGATTGGCCCCAGCCTCAAGCAGCAGCTGAGCAGCTTCAACGTTGTTGTTAAAAACGGAGAAGTAGAGGACAGTGGTGCGCCTGTCCTCGTAGAGCCGCGAGCGCTCAGGAGAGAGAGTGAAGTTCACGTCAAAGCCAGCCTCAACCAGCTCTTCCAAGACATCGTCGCGGTTGCATTCAGCTGCCAAATGCAGAGGGCTGATGCCACTGCGTTTGGTTCTAGTGCGGCTGGTGACCGGGAGCAGCATTTTCACAATCCTAGCAGAAATGAATGAAGGGCCAGACGTGAGCTTAAGCTTGCTTTTCCAGCAAAGTTATTGCTTCTATAGCAGTATCTGGCTGTCCTGTTACGATAGGTGCTGCAGGCATATATAACAGCAGTGAAATCATCTTCCCTCAGATTGCTTAAGATTTATTAAGGCAAGGTTAGAGAGTGGGGGCCACAGCACCTGAGGAATGATCTTGAATGCTAAGGCTGGGTACGGGTCGTGTTTTTCCTTAGCCTTGAATACAAGGCTAAAATACATACGGATAAAAGCAACCAAAAGCCCAAAACTGTACAATGAAAAATTCTTATCATGCTCATCCAACACCACGACCGGAAGGACAAGTATTTCTCTGCGCCACTGAAAGATTAGCACCACAGCAGAGGCCAACTTAACTACCAAAGGCCTGGGTAAATAAGCAATGACAGCCTGGTCCTTTAAAGATCAACAGTGGAGGTCTACACGAGGTGCATTTCCAAGAGGAGATCGCTTCACAAATCAGGGCTACCACCGAAAAGGCCTGTTCTTGTGTAGCCAAACTCCATACCAACCTCGGATAACTTTACTGAATAAAACCAAGCTGTTCCATCCCAGCTTGCAACCCCCCTTTCTTCTGCTTTCAGTCCTTATATCCTGTGCTGTTCTTAAAGTGGCACTCTTTCTAAATGAGATCTATAAACTATATTGATATAGGCTGCCGTAGTGAATGGTTTCCCCCTGATATTTTTTCTTACATTGCATGAGCATCGTCATTGGTTTTTATGGGGTGAGGCATGTAATTTCACAATGTGGACTGAAACAGGTAAGCACCCAGTGCTCAAGAGTGGGATGGGCAGACAGGCAGCATGAGTGGTTCTATCAGAAACATTATTGAGCAAATCCATTTGAGACAGGCCTATGGCATGAAGAAGTTCAACATGTACAGTTAAAGTAGGGGAAAGGTCTAGGCAACAGCTGGAACAGGAACACTAGTGGAAAAGTCTTTGGAACAACAGCTACCAGCCTGCCTTGCATTATCCATGCTCTCGAGACATTATGCCCTCATCAGAAGAAAATAATCAAAGCCACAGGAGGAAATTCATGTGCAGATCATTTCTCAAAGCAGAAAGGCTGACCTCACCCAGCAGTGATGCTCCCTGGAAGGCGGGAAGCCTGGGTGCTGTTTAGCTGGCAAACATCCACCACTAACAAATGCTTTGTAATAGCCATAATAGCTGAAAAGTCACACACAGTGCCGAAATGAGAGTTTGCCAAGCACTAGCATTAGTCATCCTGGATTCTACTGGGATTTATTAACATTTAAGGGTTGAGATTATTCTGCTGCTCAAGCAAGCTTCTTAGAGCTGAGTTAAAGAGGAACTGCAGGCTTTTTTTTTCCCAGTTAGGGACCGATACCTTGTTGGACATAAAGAAGCATAACCTTTATGGGTATTAAAGAACCTAGTCAAATGCATCTCTGAAACAGAGCAAGCCATATTCTTCTGGATGTAAATTTAAACTAAATTATGGCAGGCAACTAGATGGGGTAGGATGGAAGGGTCAACTTCAAAGAACCTTCAGATTACCACCAATACGTATCCACCTGGTTTGTGAAGAACGGTGCTTGTAAGGGGAGGTTGTTTTAATTAGTTGCTCCTTGTGCTGCTGTGGTGCAATTTTTTAAAGGAATGATCTAGTTCAGGGATGGGGAACCTGTGGCTCTCCAGATGTTGTTGGACTCCATCTCCCAGCATGGCCAGTGGTTAGAGATGATGGGAGCTGAGGTCCAGCAACATCTGGACTTCATCCCTTGATCTGAAAGGAAATTCATGCAACTCTAAGAATAACAAGAGTATTACACCAACAAAGTCTAAGGAGAATCATTCCAGTATGACTGTCACTGCTATGTAAAGAATATACATAAGTTGCTTCTCAGTTGCTGGATGTTGGAGAGACAGATGGTTCAGTACATATCTTAAAAGCCAACACTATGCAAAAGCTTGGCCTACGGTATAGGTCAACCCCTTCCCCAAGACTTGCAGTGGATAATTATGAAATTAGAAAGCTAATCTATAGCCCTGAATAATGCCAAAACAAAATACAGTTTAAAAGGCATTTGTCAAGTAGACTATGCAAACACATCTTCCTCTGTAAACAGGCATGGCACTAGAAGTTGCAAACTTACATTCTCTTATTCAGGACTAATTCATACAGCTCTTCTCCCAAACTAGATTGCACTGTGCGTATGGTTCCTAAATCAGGGTTATCTGACTCATCCTTACAAACCATGGCTTGGCATGAATTTAGCAGTGGCAATTTGTGCTTGTGAGGAAGTGCTATTCAGGCAATCGATTCAGCACTGCACAACACCAGCACAGAGTGATCATGTGAATAATCTCTTAGGAATTCCTAGTTATCATGACTGCCCGTCTGCTCCTTTTTAGTGTGATCCTGCTGTCGGATTTGCTTTTTAATATTCTTCTTCTCTCCCAGCTACATTGATAGGTTCATCACACTGTTCATCAGGTCCCACTCTTCTGAGTCTCATACTGCTAATAAAGAACGTAATAAATACTATATCTATTAATACTATATCTAGAAAGGAATAAATTGCAACCACTTCACAGCTACAAATATTCATGATTGTATGAGTTAAGGAATATGTGCCTAAGGTCATGGATTTGACAAGATACAGTTTCACATTAGCCTTCCAAACAGGGTGAGAGCATTAAGTACAATAAACAAACGCCAAGCAACAAGAGTTTAAAAAAAATAGAAACGATCCCCTTGGCTTTTTTCATATTATGGAGGCTTCGTGTCCTGGCAGTGAGTCTGAATGCAGAATTCCTGCAGAATTATGTATTAAATCCACATGCTTACAAAGAGAGGTCACTGTGAAGAGTGTTGTTATTCAGAATACCAAAGGGATTAAAATGACTGGCCATGCGGGGGCAAAGTTTGCCACTTGGATAAATATTTTGTCCAAGCAGCTAAAGATGGGAAGCTCTTTAATACTTTCACCTCGAAACCTTTTAACAAGTGCTTGATCCTTAACTATTCAGAAACATTGGGTCTTCAACCTAATTCTGATCTCATGTATCAATGCAGTTTTACATTGACAGAGCTTTGCAAAGTAAAAGAATCTACTTTTTAATTTTTTGGGCAGAGCGGAGTCCAATCACTTACTTGCAATGATTATGTTTGGTTATTACATTTCAACCAGCATCTCAACCACACATCAACCTGTGTGATTTTAGCAAGTGAAGTCTATGGATCTATTTATTTTGGATCATACATGACAGATAGCCACCCAACCTCTGCTTAAAACTTTCCATGGCAGCTTAGAAATATTTCAAACAAATAAAATAATAACCCCTCGAATCACAGAGGATAAACTGTGCATTAGATATGAGATTACTGGAAAGAAGATGATGGCAGAGAAAATGCCTTCTTAGAAGGCAACATGTCCCCAGTGCAAACTGAGACTATTCTAAACAGAACAACTTGTTTTGGATCTTGTCTGTAGTACATTCATTGCTACCCAAATCCCCATGGTAACTGTGGATTCATATACACAAACTTATATGGTGTTTTTTTTTTTTTAAAGAACCCTGTTAACCTTTATGCAGAAATGCTCAAATCTGTCAACAACCCTCAGGAATAAAGTAACTTACTCATAATAGCCTCTTTTGGAGGCCACGTGAATAGGCAAGAGGCCATTCTTGTTGGTTTTGTTAGCATCAGCTCCTTGGGACAGGAGAAACTCCACAATCTCCTCATGTCCATTTTTACAAGCTTCAAAAAGGGCAGACGCTTTGTCACTGGCCTGGGTATTGATGTCAGCACCTGCAAATGAAAAAAATATAAAGCAAGGCTCACTTTCGGAACATCTGGAAATCAACAGCATATGTCTCTATGCAGTGCCGGATTTATGTATAAGCTAAACAAGCTATAGCTTAGGGCCCCACTCTTGTGGGGCCCCGAAAAAATTTAAAGGAAAAAATACCTGGATGTACATTTTCAAAATATAAGATAAAAAACAATTGTAAAAAGGTACCCCTGCCCGTACGGGCCAGTCTTGACAGACTCTAGGGTTGTGCGCCCATCTCACTCAAGAGGCCGGGGGCCAGCGCTGTCCGGAGACACTTCCGGGTCACGTGGCCAGCGTGACATTGCTGCTCTGGCGAGCCAGAGCTGCACACGGAAACGCCATTTACCTTCCCGCTAGTAAGCGGTCCCTATTTATCTACTTGCACCCGGGGGTGCTTTCGAACTGCTAGGTTGGCAGGCGCTGGGACCGAACAACGGGAGCGCATCCTGCCGCGGGGATTCGAACCGCCGACCTTTCGATCGGCAAGCCCTAGGCGCTGAGGCTTTTACCCACAGCGCCACCCGCGTCCCTAAAAAAAAACAATTGTATCTCACTATTAATATACTTCTTCTTAATTGTATTTCAGTTCAACAATTACTTTGATAAAATACATATTTTGTTATGTGCAAATGGCTTTCGATACCTATTAGGTCCATAAATTACCATATAGCCTATATTCAACACAAAAAACAGTGACAATTTGTTGTTGACAAATGACAGCTGGACATATAAAGGGCCCCATTACCTTCAGTAGCTTAGGGCCCCATCAAACCTAAATCTGGCCCTGTCTCTATGCCTGAAATTTAGGTAACAAAAAAGGGCCTTAAGATGTGTATATGCCAATGAAGTGGCACAAACCACATATAAGTGCTGGGTTTTCATCGAACACACAGGATTCTTGTATTCAGGCATCATGCTTATCGCAATGAAGGTTGCAATGACATGCCCTTGCCATGACATGCCCTTTGGAGGAGGGGGCCCTGACACAATGAATTTAGCAGGCATTATGATCAGGGCTCCATACCTCCATCAGAAGTAGATTTCTAGGGGTTTGCATTCTAAAACAAACTAGCAATTAGAGAAAGGAGTCTTGCTCATTTCCCCTTACATACTTATAAAAATGAATGGGAATTCAAACAAATGAGATCTGAATGGGGGGGGCATTTGGTTCATATTAGCTTCAGTTGTTTCTATTGGGATGAAAAATGGAAACTGTCTGGGACAGCCTGTCCAGGTCAGAGAAAGATTACAAGGAGAAAAAGCAGTGAAAAATATACAGTGGTTTTTATAAAATCATGAGTTTTTGTACTATTTCTCTGAAATTTGTCAGGTCAGATCTTTTTTAGCTACATCTCCTATTCGAAGCAATGGTCAGCTTAAAGGATGTCCTTTTAAATGAAGCATCAACCCCTTTCCCCACCTGTCTGAAATGTGGCAAGGGTGATGCTTTGAATGAATAGTAGAATTCCTGAAGAGGCTATGTTATTTGGATGAAAAACACTGGCATCTTTCTGGCAACAAAAGACTCACTAGGTCTTGCCTTGAAATCAATTGTGGAATCATGAATGGAAATAATTCAGGGTAACCTGAATTAGTTATGGAAACAAATGAAAAGCAAATGAAAGAATAGCAGAACAAATGGAACTTCTGAGAACAAAATACAGTGGAGTAATTAAAAGTTTAAAAACTTGCACACCCTCTACAAATTACTGGATCTATATCTTCACACTCAGTGTAAAATGAGACTGGATGTACCCACTGCTTCCCTTTGCTACACAAATTCCCTCTCTGTTATGTGTATTAGATGAATACACATAACACGAACAAGCCATTCTATAATGTCTATTCAGACATATGTGTCTCTGACTTCAGTGGGGGTTACTCCTAGGGCTGCCATAAGTCAGGAATTTCCTGGACATATCTGGGAAGTGTTGATTCTTTGGCAAATTTCAAAAAGAAAAATAGCTCCAAAACTTTGGCCAAAAAAAGAGAGAGAAAAGCTCTGCAACTGTTGTGTCCAGATTTTCACTTTTTGAAATATGGCAACTCTACTTACTCCTAGGTAAGTGTTTGCGGAATTTCAACCTTAGTCCCGTACTAGGAAATTATAATGTACCAGAATTCTATTTGCTTGATTACAAAAAATATCCACACTTAGTTTGGGAGTAAGTTCCACTGAACAGGGTAAGATTTGCTTCCAAACAGACATGCGTAGGAATCGGTTGCGCAAGTGTCTGCCAAAGGAAAACTTGCTCCTTTGTGGCAAAGTCTTTCCATTGCATTTGAAACTTTAATGTACTTACAACTGTAACTAGCAACACAACTGCAAAGCCCAACATGGGGATGCAACTAAATGAGGGAGAGAAACGGAATCTTTATTTTATGACAAGCACTGTGCATTGTACAGATGCAATAAAGTTATTATAGGGGTTCTCAGAGGGGCTTTAAAAGCTTGGAATAGTAGTGCAGTTTTATTGTATATTCTTGTTGCAATTATTATTTTTTGTTCATAATTGACCATGGGAAATGAAAACCAAGCTCAGTCACTCTTCAATTTCCCCTTGACCTTTCAGATACTGAACTTGCGATTCGTCAATGACAACGTTCAGTCACATATGCTCCAACTGCCCCTCTTTACCAGGGACAACCGCCTCATTGTTGTACCTGTCTCTGGTAAAGCACTGTTTTTATTCTGTCCCCCTTTTTTTCCTCTTGGAGAAATGCTACGTCTCTGTAAGATAGATCTGAGAGGAGGACAAATAGGACCTGAAACAAAAGTTGGCCATGTATTTTCATATATGAAGAGTCCTCCTGCTCTAAGAAGCTCACGTAAAGCACCACACAGAGCGTTTTTCATTTTTCTTTGCCAACAGACACTCAACATTCCATGGTTAATGAGTATGATAAATCCTAATTTGGTGTTTTATCCCTTTAAGGCTTAAAATAAATTCCTGTACTTCTGTATCCTCGGGGGTTGGACTAGAACTTGGAGATCAAGGTTCAAATCCCTACTGATCCAGGAAGCTCACTGGGTGAAGAGCTTGACACGTGTGTGGGAATTGTGTGCACTCCTTTGAACACCTGAGAGAAAAGGTAGGACAGAAATGTGAATCATCCTCTTTGAGTAGATTCAAGTATGGGTCTTTCAATCACCTCAGAATCTCCCACTAGAAATCTGGAAAAGGTTCTGCCTCCTTTGTACTATAGTTTATGAAAGTGTGGGAAAACAATGCACAATAAGCTACCTCCGACAAGAGCTTGTAGAAATTAGAATTTCAGCTGCCTTCCTTTGCAAGACTGCCGTATAGGATGAATGAAAAGCAAATCCAAAATTATGAACTGGCCGCTGAAAAACCCAACACACAAAATCAATAGATGGTTTTGCATATCTCAGCCGCTGCACATGAAATGCTCCTGCTTCTGCAATACTGCTTACCGCACTTGGCAAGGTATCGCAAGGCTTCTAAGTGGCCACTCTCAGCTGCCACGAAAAAGGAAGTGAGCCCGTAGGAATTTGTGCTTTCGACCTTGGCACCTCCTTTGACCAAAAGGTCTATTATTTCCAAGTCATTCCGAGCGACAGCTTCATGGAGGGCAGTCCACCCGCGATTGCAGCGATGGTTCGCGTCAGCATTGTACTCCAACAGCACCTGTACAGCTTCGGCATTTCTGTGTTCACAGGCTGTGGTGACAAAAAAGAAAAGAAAAGAAAGTTTAGGTTTCCGTATCTGGGCCTCAAAAACAAGTTTCATTTGGGACAATTTCACCAAGATGTTGCTCATTGTCCAAGAAAGGCCTCGTTTTATTCCAGGTATATTTTCTCCTGCATTTTTAAAATGAATTCATAGATTTCAGTTTGCTTTTTGGGGTACAAGAGGATTGTTTTCCAAATGTCCCCCCCCCCACAAACATGCAAAATAAACGTTCAAGATTGTGGCATTGCTTCAGATATTCACACAAAAACAAGCCCTTATTTATCTGTTTATAAAAAAATTGTACACACCACTTTTCAGCCCCTCCCAAAGTGATGAACTTGCAACTCTGATGAATATCCATATATCAAGGATATGAAATGACTCCCTCTCCCGTTGATTTCATTATCTCAAATCTCCGTTGTATAGAGTTTCCCTATCTTCTTTCCTGCTCTGAAAATGGCAGCAGCCTACTAACCACATGGCAGGGATAGTATATTTAGCCTCTTCCTCATCACAAGGCAATTTCAGGAAAGGGTACAATTAAAACACAGAAAGGATAAAGCAAATTACAATAATAAAAAAGATTAACAAAGCAGCAACCAGTAGAATAGCAACCATAACAAACCCAGACAAGGCACAAATACCTTGCGAAAGTCTGAGCAAACAAATAGAGAGGCTACATTAAGCAATGTGTTTGAACACTGAATATGTAAGTTTATGTCTAAAGTCAATGGTGAGAACAAACACCATTATATGTACTGCTGGATAAGTGTTTAAAGCTCATAACACTGGGTCAAGTTAATCAGTTTTGTTGACTTAATTGAGCTAAATAATTTTAATTGAATTTTGAATAAATGTACAATTAATTGTTACTGTTTAGAATTTTGTTGTGTTATTATCTTCTTTAGTGTGTCATGCAAACCACTATTCTGAATAATAATAGTTTATTATATTATTATAATTTATTGTTGTTATTAGTATATTACTACTACTACTACTAACTAATGCTTTTTATAAGGTAGGGGACACTAGGGATAAGTTTATGCCACCAAGTGGGAAGAGGCCCAAAAACGTTTGGGAACCACTGAACAACTTAGACTTTGGCCTGATCCAGCAGAACTCTTTTTATCTTCTTATTTCAAGAGCAGCTTGAAATAAGAGCACTGCCACCCCGGCCAGATATGCTCACCAGCACCAACTAACAGAGGAGAATAATCCCTAGGGGACACTTTGCCCAGTGCCTTCTCAAACCTGGAACCAGCCCTGATTTCTGAACTACCGCGGGCTGGGGTAGCAGTGGCGGGCAGTGGCCCAGGCCCAGTTTTTTATGGAGCCGTCACATGCCTGTGGACACTGCAGCAGCATGACAGCATATGATGTCATGATGTTGTGCATGGCGCGCTGGGCACCCACTGTTGGGGGTTCAAGTTGGCACACACTGTTTCCAACTAGAAAAGTAGTCTACTCGTGGGCACTCAAGACTTATGAGAATCAAGCAGCTTACCTTTATAAAGTGGAGTCTCCCTAGCTTTGTTTGCAATATCAGGTTCTGCTCCAGCCTGCAGCAATAAACGGACACACTCAAGATTCCCTCTATTTGTTGCTAAGTAGAGCGCCGTTTCCTCCTGAAGCGTACGCTGATCAAGTAGCCCAGGATAAGCTATGGAGAAAGCGTTGATCCATATTTAGTGAGGCGTGTAATGTACACAGATTATTCTCACATCAGACACTGTGCTCAATAGTGTCAAACTTTTATGTGATAGCTAACCACCCACATACAACTTGTCTCACTCTTTCGTCAGGGTTAAAAAAATTCTTGCTCCAATTGTGACAGAATACATTTTCAGAGTAAGTTTAGGAAGTCTGATCGCCTGAGTTCACCACCCTCTCCTGCCATTGTTATTGGTGACGTTTTTGGTACACAGTATTCCCATTAAAAGCCACCACAGGAGCTTGTTGCCATTCAAACTGTGGTGGGGCAGGAAGAGTTTAGAGGACATGCAGAAAGAAACCTTCAGCACATGCCAAGAGAACTCTCCATAAAACAGCTACCAGGATGTTTAATTTGGGTAACATGCGCTCTTGCTTGATATGCATGATCCACTGGGATGGGGGTGAGGGGCAGAAGATACGGTGAAAATGCTATTTATAATCAATACATTAGCCTTTAACCTTTGGGGGGGGGGATGTGTATAATCATGAAATTCCTTGCATGTAGAAAAATAGGCTGAATAAGCAAGCTTGCATCTTTCAGGGAGTGATATGACTCAATGGGTTACTCTATACCCTGTGATGGTTTTGTGATTTGATCTTATCAGTTCTTTTTTTCCTGATACTTGCATTTATACAGCAGTTTCAAGCAGCGCTCTTGTCCATAGTAAGCAGCCTCGTGGAGGGGCAACCATCCATCTTTGTTAGGCTGTGCAAGGTTTTTCCCCGACTGCATCATTTTAAGAAGTGCGTTTTCATCTCCTCTCTGGATTGCTGACACCACAGGATCCAGCACTCTTTTAAAACAAAGTTGAAAACTCGTCACTTTTTGCAGGGTTGCTTCTGACATTTGCAATGGCATGGCAGCACTATCCATGCCCTGGCTGTGAAACCATCCCACTATGGTGGTTGAAATTATGGGGCTGTTCCCCCACCCCCTTGAAGTCACTCGTATTTTATGTGGCTGACTAAACTATACAGAATCCCAAGCAAACTCTCCCACCCACCTGCAAGCCAGCAAACACAGAGGGCTATATATTCCAAAAGCAACTGAGAACAGATCCCTGTGTCCCTATTTTCATGCTCTTTAGTGCATTGGCTCTCCCATTTTGCACACTGAAGGCACGCATGGCAACACAGCTAAAAATAATCCCAGTCAGCTTTGTTTACTATTTTGACATGGGAACTGGTTGATCTAACTAAATCGCTAGACAAGTATCCTGTTTCCGCTGAGTCAGTCACTCCAGTGCAACGGAGAGAGTCCTAAAAGATGGGGTTAGAAAGGGACGCTTTCAAGATCAGCAGGCCTCCGGGGTGGGTGGAAGAGGTGGGAGGGAGAAGGGCAGGCAGGGAGAGGGAACGGGGAAAGTCAGTCCCTTTTCCCTCGGCCAGTTATGCAAACTCCTTAGAAGACATAAAATGATGCTACCTCTGTCACCACATGCCTATCCCCCCCCCAAACCCTTTCTAGCTGTCTAGTCAAGCCAAGCACACGACAACAAATGTAGCCTAATAATGAAAAAAAGAACAGGAAAGAAAGTAAGGAGGACTTACTCCGGCTGGGGTGTTTTAAACAGGCTGCCATCGTACCTCTGTCTGACCCCTGAACTGGCTGCTTGATTCTGTGCTGATCGCCTGGAGTGATGACGGCACGAATGAAATAATGAAAAATACTCCGAATAAGAAAAGCAGGTCATGTCTCGGGTTGCTTAGCGGTGGGCCTGGGGGCTGAGAAAGCCACTGAAGGAGACAGTATCCAGTGGACCTGCAGCCCCCTCTGGGTCTTTAAACAAAGGCAGGCTTGTTCTGGCTCAGCTGCTCTCTCGGTTCTGGATTATTTTTGGCCTTCACAGTGTCAGGGGATTCAAATGACCATATAAGACAACAGGGGAGATGAATCCCTCCATCACCACCCAACAGGCAGAGAAAGAGTTTGAGGGCCTTCTTCGCTTCAGGGAGAAGGATGGCTGGATAGTTTTTGTTGTGAAGCAGCTGTGGGAATGAAAGCTTTGCAAGAAACTTTCAGATCAAGACCAAGAAGAGATCGCTGGGGTTGCCAGGTCCAAACAAGATGGCCTGCTATATCTTTCAGAATTGCAGAATTACATTGAGGACACAATTTCACCAGATGCGTAAGTGTGTGAAGTGAGCTTCATGGCTGAGTGGGGATTTGAACCCTAGACTCCACTCTAACCACTACCCCACACCAGCTGTGACCATTGTACCACGCTGTGGCAGATCTACAGTGAAGGGAGAGGTTGCGCTTGGTGGAGCTCTGTTTTAAAAGCCTTTTTAAAAAGTGGTTTTCCTTTCCAATCATATAAAAGGCAGGACATAATCAACAGAGGAACAGGAATATTAAAATATAACTTGATAAAATATGAAACACAGTGGGAGGCGCTAGTTAGCCTTTTCCTAGGTCATTAGATAAAAACATCAGACAAGAGAAAAGATGAAAGAGAGTTTGTGCCCTCCTCCAAAAACTTGTAATACATGATCTTAATACGGTCTGATGAAGTCTTTCCTTTAAGGAGGAGGGGTAAATGCATATTGCTTTGAATTTATTAGATCTTAGCATGACATTGATCTCTATCAGCATAATATATTATGAATATATCAAGCACTTCCTAAGCCATATGCAACTCAAGAATGGACTTGCATTGAACTTTGCAAATCTGGAAAACAGAGTACCCCCCACAACTGCTCAAATGACTTTGCTACACTTTCCTGGGTCATGCTGCTCCTAATTTTGCAACTGCCAAGTTAGCTAATTTTAAAATAATCGTGTTTACTGTGGTCAGTGGGGATTTCCCCGAAGGGTGATTTCATACATCTATGCAATTGCTACTATGAGCCAGTCATCTGACCCAGTTTGTAAACTAACACGGTGAAGTAACATATAAACATAAAGTATTGCACAAGAAAAACTAAAGTGCCCTATTTATTCTGATGATCACTGGGATGGCTCAAGTGAGCAAGATATATGTTTTGTTTTTTAAAAAAGTTCCAGAGTTGGGTCAAATATACTTTTTGGCAGTGGAAACAGACATATGTAACAGTTTTAAGCAGCAGTGACATAAGGATGTTCAGACACACGTGGAAAAAACTATTCTCAAATGTGACATTTTCTGTTATATCTCACCCAAAGTTTAACCAAGAGGGCAGGACTGGGTCCAACAGTTAGTTTCACTGGGAAAAAGTTATATCAATGAATAATTTCATCTTAACCAGTAGCTGCTGTTGTATGCTCATTGCATACATGTAAGTTCTAGTTGCACTTTCGTTTTACTCTGTAATGCTAAGATGAATAAGTTCTACTGCTCTGAAGGGTCATATTGCATACATCTAAGCTCCAACTGAACCATCTCAGGCTGCAATTTGTGTATTCCATTCTGAAGGAAAAGCAGCTATGGAGGGCTTCAATCTGGATCATGCTTGAAAGTGTGAGCCAGACAGCAGGTTCATGCACTGTTTTTCATTGAAAATGAAGTGGCACTCTAAAAGCACACTTTTTTAAAAAAAAAATGTGTTTAATGTAATGTAGTTTAGTCCTGTGTATTCAGTCAAATATTTTTTACCAGAAGATTCAAATAGCAATTTGAGGGCTTGGCAGCTAATCAATATTTCGCTCAGCGCCAAAATCGGACATTTAAAACACCACCAACACATTTCTGCCCTTCTCTTCCTCCAAGGATTTCAGACAAATATAAGACGTATCCTGCTGCATCAGGAAAATGCTCCATCTAGTCTAGCATCCTGTTTTCAATGGCCCACCAGGTGCCTGTAGAAAACCCTCAAGTAGGAGATGAGCAGAAGAGCCCTCTCCCCTCCTGTGGCTTCCAGCAACTGATATTCAGAAGCATTGTTGCTTCCAACTGTGAAGGCAGAGTATAACCATTGTGGTTCATAGCCATGAATAGCATTATCCTCCAAAGATTTATCTAATGCTCTTTCAAGGCCATCCAAGTTGGCGGCCATCACTTCTTCTTGCAGGAGCAAATTCCAGAGTTTAACTAGGTACCGTGTGAAATATTTTCTTTTGCCAGTATGCAGCTTCACTGGATATGTTCCTAAGTCCTCGTGTTTTGCAAGAGAGAGAAAACCTGTTTCCCTGCCAACTTTCTCCAGATGCATCGTTGTATAAACTTCCATGGTGTCCCCTGTTACTCCCCTTTCCTCATAGGAGGCTGGCTCCACCCCCTTGATAATTTTGGTTCTCCTTTTCTGGAACTTTCCCAACTATAGAATGCGCTTTCTGGGGATATTGCGAGGTGTCTTTCTGGACTATCTCCAGCCCGGTTACTAGTCAGGGCAGGACTTGCGTAGCCTAAGAGCAGCAACCGTATCAGGCAACAGAGCCAGAGTTAACATCTAACCTACCTATAACAGAGTAATCACAGAAGCACTAACACGAATGTTTAGGACTGGGGTGCAGGACATGCAGTGAGTTTACAGTGGGGTGTTTTTTGTGGGTTTTTTTCTTTTTCTTTCCTTGCTTCCTTACCTTTGCCAAGGGTAAAGGTAGAAATTCTGGCAATAAGGGTCGTTGTGGGTCGGCGTGGTTGTCTTCTGTGTAGCTGTTTGTTCTGCAGGGTCTTCTGTCAGGCTTTGCTGGATGGCCAACTCAATGAGCTCATCTTCGCTCATACTGCTATAGAGGCTGTAGTCCTCATGTCCTAGAGCTCCCGTCTGAGAATTCCTGGCCACCGTGACCTGTGTCGCCATCTTCCCTGTTAAGTCGGAAAGAGACGGCTCCAAACACCTGGAATGTACAGAAATGAGACTTAGGCTGTGTCCAGATGGGGGCGGCAAACAGGCCATGTGGACCTGATATTCCTGTGCGCATGACTTGCAGGAGATCGATCGCACACTCCCTTCCCCCCCGCCCAGTCGTGGTTGTCCATTGAAGCTTCACTACTTGCCATCTACATCAGTGGATGGAGCTTCACAAAATGTTTCTGGGCTGTGTGATGCTGTTGCTTTGTCCTGCCCTCTGTCACTCCTCCCTTTCCTTTCCTTTCCCTTTCCTTTTCAAAAATTGATTAATTAATTAATTTTACAATTTTCAATTTTATACATTTCAATAATTTTATAATCATTTTTACATTTCAAAACTTGACTTCTTTCCCCCTCTTTCCTTAAATTTATTTTTAGTATTTTCTGCATCTCCAAATTAACTTAATTTACTCATTTATTCATCTACTTTAAATATAAACTTATAAAACTGCAGGATATTACAATAAACCTGCCAATGTTCTGTTTACAATTTATTCGTACATATTCAATAAACCATTTTCATTCTTTTATTAAAAATTTGCTATCTTGATTTCGTTATTTTTCTGGTATGTTTTGCCATTTCTGCATATTCCATAAGTTTTTGTATCCATTCTTCTTTTGCTGGGACTTCTTTCCATTTTGCGGCAAGTAACATTCTTGCCACTGTAGTCTCATACATGAATAAATTTCTATATAGTTTGGGTAGTTCTGTCCATATAATTCCCTCTCATTTTCCATTCTGGGCATCCATGCAGGTACAATAAGTTTGCAAGAGCATAAGAGCAAAGGTTATAAAAATTGTCCACAAGGGAGGAAATGGAGGGTTGTACTGGCTGCTTTCCTTCAACGTAACCCCACTTTCCACACACACATGGAAGTCTGGTCATATATAAATTGGGGTTGGAGAGGTGACGCCTTATAGAATCACATTGTAGAGTTGGAAGGGACCCTATGGGTCATCTAGCTCAACCCCCTGCGATGCAGAAATATGCAGCTGTCCCATGTGGGGATCGAACCTGCAACCTTGGCGTTATGAGTACCACACTCTGACCAACTGAGCTTTAATAAAGCAGCCTTTCAAGGAGCAACTCTCCTTCGTCTTTGCTCACAAAGCTTTGCCGTTTTGCGCAATTTTCTTTTTGCCCTCACTTCTAGGAGCAAAATAAAACTGAGGGTGAGGTAGGACTTTTTTTTAATCACAGAAAGCTGATTATTCCCAGTAGTTGGTGTTAAGTTTCAGGCCACTATATGCTTTTTTGCAAAACCAAAAAGAGACTCTTGCTAGAGTTGTCACGTACCAGCTCTCCCCTCCTACCTCCCAGATCCTCCTTTCCTGAGTTGTGTCACCCTTTAAAAATACTCTATTAGAGATCAAGTTGCAACTTGACATTTGCCAAGTATTTCATATGACACATAAAGGAAAATAAACAGCTCTCAGGAGGTCACTGTGTGAGGAGGAGCATTGCAGGGAAGAACATTTCCTTCAGGAGGGCACAGCGTGAAACACAATGGGTGTTTGTGACAGTACTAAGACAACTGTCTGAATATGCTGGAAGAGGGTTCAAAGTCCTGTACATACATACACACACACCATGGCAGCCATTTTGTTTTCTAAGCTTCTGAGGTCAATATACTGACTGTTCACAATGAGGTAAAGCTGAGCTCACACTGAATTTTTAAGTCAACTCCCGTTGCCTGAGGTACTGTCCAAATTTCACCCTCTCTGCTCTTAGCATATAAGCCAGGCTTCCTCATCCTTGGCCCTCCAGATGTTTTTGGCCTACAACTCCCATGATCCCTAGCTAGCAGGATCAGTGGTCCGGGATGATGGGAATTGTAGTCTCAAAACATCTGGAGGGCCGAGGTTGAGGAAGCCTGATATAAGCCAGCTAACCAGTTTGATACAAACTGGCCACTGGCTCACAGACAGAAATAAGTGATTGCTAGGAACAGTTCCACCATGGAGCTGCCAGATCCCAGGAGGCTCTTACCTTCCACCTGACGGCCATTTCACACATTACCCTGAGGGAAACCTGAGTATACCCAAGAGACAGCTGCCGCCATCATGGTTCCCCTGTGGAGTGTATGCATATGGCACACGCGTCTGCAACATTGGACACAGCATTTTCATCTAAAGTTGTACTGTAGTGTGTAAGGCAACCCCAAGGCAGACATTGGTGTAACAACTTCAGGGAAGTTTGCCAGATCTGCATTTTCACACTTGCATTTGCCTATCTCTGAACACATATCTAGACTTCCCCAATCCCATGTCTTGCTGTGAAACAGAAGAGAGAGGAATCAGTCAAATTATTGGGATTCGCTTCCTCAACTCAGCAACCTGCCTCACGGCCACGTGCTAAGTGCAAGGCCTTACTGGTGCTTCTATCAGCTGTAGGGTTGCCATGTGTCCGGGATTTCCTAGAAATGTTTGGGGGGACAGCACCCCCATCCAGGAGGATTTTTGCATTTTGGATTAAATATCCGGGTTTGGGGTTTTTATTTTATTATTATTTTTTAATGTTTGGGGTTTTTAAAATATTTTTTTTGTGGGGAACATGCATGCTCAGAAGGTGCTGTGCCCCAGAACAGAAAGCACACATCAGGTGGCCTGGAGCAGCCTGCCGGGGGTCGCGCTAGGTCTGGTGTTGTTCCTGGCTGCCACCAGGCCTTTCAGGGCTTTCCCAGGGCCATGTTAGGCCTCGTGGTGCTCCTGGCGGTCACCAGGCCTTGCAGGGCTTTCCCAGGGCTACTCAGCCTCCCATCATGAGCAGGAGTAAGACAACAAAAGTAAGAGAGGGGAGGGAAGAAGTGGGGAGCAGGTGGAAGAGGAAGGGGTTAGCGGCAGGGAGTGGGTGAGCGAAGGAGATGCGAGATGGCAGAGTGCCCCAATAGTGGGGGGGGGGGTTGATAGCCAGAATATGTGGTACATGACCGCAGTCAAGCTTGCAAAGATATATCACTTGCCGGATAATAAGTGTTGGAAATGTAAAGAAACTGAGGGAACATTCTTTCACCTTTGGTGGACGTGCCCAAAGGTCAAGGCTTTCTGGGAAATGATATATAATGAATTGAAAAAGGTATTTAAATATACCTTCCCTAAGAAACCAGAGGCCTTCCTTTTGGGCATTGTTGGCCAAATGGTGCCAAAGAAGGACAGAACGTTTTTTATGTATGCAACAACAGCAGTAAGAATTCTCATCGCAAAATACTGGAAGACACAAGATTTGCCCACTCTGGAAGAATGGCAGATGCAAGTGATAGACTACATGAAATTGGCAGAAATGACTGGCAGAATCCGAGACCTGGGAGAAGAGCTAGTGGAAGAGGATTGGAAGAAGTTCAAAGACTACCTGCAAAAACACTGTAAAATGATTGAATGTTAAAATGATGCAGGATATAAAGATAATATGGCATTAGTGACAAAGCTGAAAGGAACATGCAAAAAATACTTTTTAAGAAATAAGGGTGAAAAGGTTAGAATAACATTATGTCAGATTTAAATAAAATGATATCAAGGGAAAAATTGGTGACATAATAGTTGAAATGTATAACATACAATAAGATTTGAAAGAGGGTAAGATATTGCTGAATGTGATTGTGTAAAAGGGAACACAGAAAAGGGAGATGTGAGGAAGTCAGGAAAGAGGGTTATGAAGGTAATAAGTAAGAAACAGGATTTCTTTATTTTTCTTTCATCTTTTTATGTCTTTTTTCTTGTATTTGTTATAATTGTGAAGTTTGTTTAATTGTTTAAAATCTCAATAAATATCTTTTTAAAAATAATAATAATAAAAAAATGATAGCCAGAATATGGCAACCCTAATTCGGCGATCTATATCAGACTTCCCCAACCTGGTGCCCTCAGGATGTTTTGGACTCTCCTCATCCCTGACCATTAGCCAGGCTTGCTGGGGCTGATGGGGGTTGTAGTTCAAAACATCTAGAGGGCACCAGGTTGGGGAAGTCTGATCTAAATGTGATGACAAGAGCCCAACATTAACAAAACAAAAATACAGCTGTTGCATTCTGTGAAAAAGGAACCCGGGAACTGAAATGGAAAAGTCCTTCAGTGAATGGTTTCCCCCCTAACTGAACTCGCAGGAACCTGAGGACAAAGGAGTCAGGGCCAGACTCTTGACCTTTCTTGATCTGCAGAAGGGCTAAGGGTATCCTGCCCATTAAATCGGATTTCAAATCAGCTTTTAACTAGGTTGTTGGCAGAATCCCTCTTTTTATCGTTAACCCACATCAGAGAGGTCTCCTGGTGGCTCCTGGTGACTACAGCCTTTTTTTATATTCTCCAGGCCACCTGCTCAATTACATGGGAAGAGAGGCTGGATTACAGCTACTGGCCATGCCCTTTATCAGCATGTGGCTGCTGGTCCTTCCCCCTTACCTATGTATATCAGGTGGAATGTGAGAAGGGTCTCTCCACATGAGCAGCTGTAGTAGACATGTAAGGCTCAGGAAACCTGGGTTCTGATTAGCAGTACAAAGCCTACATCAGCCTTCATCAACCTGGTGCTCTCTTGGACTGCAACTCACATCAGCTCCAGGCAGCATGGGGAATGGTCAAAGGTGACCAACAGTCCAGTAATCTTCTTTGGGTCATGGGAGCTCCATTGCATTGCATGGACACACACACACACACACACACACACACACACACACAGAGCTACCACAACTAGGATGTCTTCTGTGTCCACATACCCTCCAATATGCAGAGTCTCAAAGCCAGGATGCATGTCTTCCTGTCTGTACATGAGTCACGTGACCCATGAGCGATCATGGAGCCCCCAAGATGCACTTTGGAGGGGGCGTGTTCTCATGGCATCCAAAAACATGTGTCTTGGGATGCCACGCAAGATTGTGGCCCTGTAAAAAGCGGTTTTCGGGGTGAGATCTCAGTGCAAAATCTCACGAGAACACAGTGACCAAAATAGCCACTGTGTGCTCATGGGGAGGGGGATATGATGGCCTTTTCTTCTGGGACGCTTACAGGGTATATGTTCATTTCAACCAAAGGAATAAATGTGCAAATATATTTACAATAATGAAATGCATTTCAGAGGAAGGGGGTGCAGATTGGCCACCTTTAAATTCTGTCTCCTTGCCCTGTTGTTGTTGTTGTTGTTGAAATGTTTTTCTTGGTTTAGCTCACCAGCTGCTTTTGTACAGTGGGAATCTCCGGGTGTGTTGACCACAATTGCCCGTTGCAATATCTGTATATTTCCAGCCACCCAAATCCTAAACACGTAAAATGGAACTTGCGGACCTTGAGAGTTAATATTTTTAGATCAGCTACATAGGATGTAGGTCAGGCAAATATATTTTGGCCACAACGATTACTGCAATCTGCTAAAGCACAGGGAACCAAGTTTCCAGGTGATGAAACATTTCTGAGTAAATGAATCCCGCCAGTCCCCAGCTGTCTGGATACATCAAACTGTTTATGAAGTTGCCTTGGCACATCTTGGATGCCAACGACAACACTTCCATGCAGTCGGTCCGCTCACCCACCCCCATATCTGTTATACTTTAGTCCTTACCATAAGCACCTAAGAAGAGTCTACTGGATCAGGCCAGTTGGCCAACTAGCCCACCATCCTGCTCTAACAGTTGCCAACCACATGCTTATATGGGAACCCACAAGCAAGATGTGAGCACAGAAGCACTCATTCCTCCTGCAGTTTCCAGCAACTGGTATTCAGGAGCATAATGCCTCCAACTGTGAAGAGCAAAGCCATCATCGCTAGCAGCCATTGATAGTCTTTTCCTCCATGACTTTGTCTACTCCAAAATTGATAGCCATCATTGCCTCCTGTGGAAGCAAGTTCCGTCGTTTAACTATGTGCTGCAGAAAGAAGTGCTTTTTTAATCTGTCCTGAATCCCCCAAATTCACCATTCATACCACTTGGCATCCATCATCACAATTGTTGTATCTTGCCATAGCCATGGAAATAACAGAAACAATCTGGATGAAAGAAATGGTAACTTAAGATGGCTTTAGCATTTCCCTGTAGGGTCTGTTGAAAGATCAGGCACTACAGACATTCAGATTCCTCTTCTAATATCAATCACCTCTGCATATAATATTTCAGAAGTAAAGACATCAAAACATTCCTTTTGAATGGATGCATATGCTGTGGTGGAGGAGTGATAAATTACATATTTACATTTTAGTGAATCACTTAGGATGCAAAGTAAATTCTGTTTAAAAAGTCTTTTGTCTTCCAAGATTTCGTATGTGTAAGTCATTTCCCATAGTTAATTTAATGCATTCCTACATTTGGAGAAAGGAACGGTTATGCACATTGTAAGCAAATTACAGGTTCTGCACCCAACCAATACATTCAAAGCATGCATAACTGCATTACCTTATAGCTTCTGTAGCTAACAAAGTTTACCCCGAAGTGATTTTCCTTGGTGAACTCTTAATTCAGAAAATCCCCTTTCGGGTGCATCTCTCTCCCGTCTCTGTGTGTTGATAAACTGCAGAGCAGCTCTGAACTCTCTCCCTCTTTGAAGTGCGGAGTTTATTTCTGGATCACCCCATGATCGACGATTACAAGCCAAAATATAAGTTGCTCTGAATCTCAGATTTCCTGTGTGAAGTCTGTGGCAAAGCGACTTGTTCCCCTCTCAAGTTTTCTCTCTGCAGCATTATAATCTGTAGAACTTCGCTTTCTGCAACATCCCTTTCCGAAATGACATAAGCCTGACCTTTTTGTTACATCATTATTTATTTATTGCCCTGTACAAGTAAACCATATATGGCCATGTTGCTGAAAGTTGGAAAGGAGTTTACAATGGCCATGCAATCTTCAAATGACTATGGCTGGACTGATATTTTTCAGGGGTTGTTTTTAGCACGTGTAATCTCATTTTTATCCCATACTTCCTCAAGAGTTCAGGGTTACACACACACCACACACACACACACACACACACACAGAGAGAGAGAGAGAGAGAGAGAGAGAGAGAGAGAGAGAGTTTTTAAAACTCCAAAACAACATTGCAAAGTAAGCCATTCTGGGAGACACTGGCTTGGTTTTGCAACATGGTAAACCAAACTATGGATTGCGCAACCAGCATGTTGAGTCAAGTGATGGTTTGGTTTTGTGTGATGTACAAACACAGGCTTATGGGAGAGCTTCTTACTCACTATGAACTGTAGTAAAAACAAAACAAACAAACAAACAAACAAACAAAAAACACCTTTACCACAAACCTGGGTTCAGACCACTCACTAAGCCATGGGAGTAAAAAACAAACATGCAAAAAACTTAGGGGATGAGCAAAGTTTACACATTTGCATAGTCCCAGTAAACTATGGTTTGGCTTGAGTATCATAGAAACCAGACCAGTGGAAGGCCGAAAGGTACACAATGTGTTTCAAGTCCAGGCAAGGATTTGAACCTGAGTTTACCCACTTTAAGTCCAAGTGTCTGTCTACTATGCCATAGTAGACAGCTAACTTTTGTCACAAGTAAGGGAAATCCAAACACGACAACCTGTAAGGCTGCAAAGCTGGACAGGCTACTGAGATGCTACATTCATTCTTTAGACATCAAAATATGTAGGGTAGATACTTCTGTCTGAACTGACTTCTTCCAGGGAGAGAATTGTGGTTCTGAGGGCAAACAGATGTGTTACCTTGGCTTCTTTCCTGTCTTCAGTTAGAAAGCCCGAGTCTCAGAGCGTTACGTATTTTGAAGATCAGCAATTTCACATTTGAGTTCTTTACAGTTGTGTACATACCACACCTTTAAAGCACATTTGAAGCACATTCTTTCCATCAAAGAATTCTAGGCACTGCAGTTTGTCAAGGGTTGCCAGGAATTATAACTATGTGAGGGTTCAACTACGATGCCCAGAATTCTTTGAGGGACAGAATGCGTTTCAAATATGCTTTGAAGGTATACACAGCCTAAGAATAGCCAAGCTGGTGACTTATTGATACTGCTATCCAGTGCTTTTTTCCTATTAAAAAAATGTTTAGGGGTAGGTACTCTCATTTTAGGGACGCGGGTGGCGCTGTGGGTTAAACCACAGAGCCTAGGACTTGTCGATCAGAAGGTCGGCAGTTCGAATCCCTGCAACAGGGTGAGCTCCCGTTTCTCGGTCCCTGCTCCTGCCAACCTAGCAGTTTGAAAGCACGTCAAAGTGCAAGTAGATAAATAGGTACCACTCCGTCGGGAAGGTAAACGGCGTTTCCGTGCGCTGCTCTGGTTCACCAGAAGCGGCTTAGTCATGCTGGCCACATGACCCAGAAGCTGTATGCTGGTTCCCTTGGCCAATAAAGTGAGATGAGCGCCGCAACCCCAGAGTCGGCCACGACTGGACCTAATGGTCAGGGGTCCCTTTACCTTTTACTCTCATTTTCCTACTCTGCCCCTCAGTGAGGCCAAACTTAGATTCACAAAATGTTTAGGGGTATGTGTCCCCCTGCATCCCCCCAAGAAAAAAGCACTGCTGCTTTCAAAGGGTATTTGTCATGGTGGCTGCGAGCTACGATCCAGGATCAGGGCAGCATCCCTCAGAAGATCAGCTGCTGGGAAACATGAGCAGGAAAGTGCTATCACATGTTCTGTTTGTGGGCTTCCCATAGGCATTTGGTCAGCTACTATGGGAATAAGAAAATGCCTAATACTGCCTTCAAACAGAGAGAGAAGATGGATAACTTGTTCTAAGTCAAAAGCAGAAGGTAATTGAGCTGTGTGACAGCCTCAGGCTGCAGGAAGCAAACCAAACTGCCACACCTATGGTCTGTGATTTTCTAAAGAACCTTTGGACCACATCAGCGAAGCCGAGACAGGGGTCTTGTCATCTGGGCAGCCCAGAGCCTCCATATACACTGCCCAGGATTGCATCCCAGGGAGGTCATTTCAGTGCTGCTAACGCAGCAGTTTGACTTCACCGCTGAAGGAGCATACCATTGTCTCTCAAGACAGATGGATGCCAACAATGGGAAACAGGTAGTTGGACTAGCTGAGCCTTTGCTCTGATCCACAAGGCTCTTCTAAAGTACTGGTGACTTGTTAATTATTACATTGTCAAGAAACCCTAGAGCTGCATCTCTTGTCAGACGGGGACTCTGGTGGGAGAAGGAGGGGACTTTAACCCTTTGTCCACCTCTGTAATCCCAGTCCTGATTAAAACAGAGGAAACTTAGCATGAAACTTGGAAAAATTGCAGTCTAAAGCTGCAATCTTTTAAACCCAGAGTAGAGGAGTGGAACCTCTGACCCTGCAAATATTCCTGAACTACAACTCCCATCAGCCCCAGCAAGCTGTGTCAATGAGCAGGGATGCTGGGAGAACATAAGAAGCTGCTGCTGGATAAGGCCAATGACCCATCTAGTTCAGAGTCCTGGGCTAGATCTACACTGACCTGTTTAACGTTATTTCCTCCATTAGAATATTAGATACCGTATTTTTCGCTCCATAAGATGCACTTTTTTCTTCTTAAAATCTAAGGGAAAATGTCTGTGCGTCTTAAGGAGCAAATGTGTGATCCCTGTACCCGGGCTTCCCTCGCCAGCCCCGACAAGCTCTGCATGCAGCCTTCCCGCTGCTCCCCGGGGCTGGCGGTGAGGGAAGCTCGGCTGAAGCCTGGAGAGCGAGAGAGGTTGGTGCACACCGACCCCTCCCACTCTCCAGGCTTCAAAGATAGCCACCTGAAGCCTCCGAAGCACAGCGGGAGCTCCTGCTGCGCTCGGGAGGCTTTGGGTTCCTTTTGCTGAAGGGTAGGTGCCCCTTCAGCTAAGGCACAGCGCCCCTTTAGCTAAGCGGGAGGAGAAATGGAAGGGGCTCCGTTTCTCCTGCTGCTTCCTGAAGGGGCGCTGCGCAGAGAGGGGGAGATTTCTTTTCCTTGTTCTCCCCCTCTAAAACAAGGTGCGTCCTGGAGACTTCCGGTTTGGGTCGCGGACGGCGAGGAAGCGGGGAAAGCCTCGTAAAGGGCTTTCTGAGCAGTTCGGAGGCTTGGGGGAGTCGTAAGGGCACTGCACCCCCCAAAAATCCCAGGGGGGAACCCTGGGGGATAGGCTTCCCTGCAGCGTGGGAGCGGCTTTTGCACGGCTTGGAGTTTTTTCGCTATAGCGAGAAGACGCCCAGGGTGGAGCCGCGAGCGCAGGAAAGGGAAAGCACCGACTCCGAGCTGTAATGCCTCCAGCTTCTGCCGAGAAATGCGACAAACCTTCGTCGGATTAGAAAGGAATCTCCAGTGTGTGGTGTGTGGTGGGCTGAGATATTTTGAGGAATTGGAAATTAAGCTGAGAGACTCCGGGAAGATTAAAGATATATAAAAGGAACACACCCGATGGTGAGCGGAAAATGGCGCAGATAGTTATATCGCAGACAGTTTAAAAAGGCAATATCTACCAATAGCCGGACTGAGTGAGTACTGAATGCCGCGGTAACTCTTGATAACCTAAAAGAACTATTGATTATAAAAGCTGATATAATTAGAAGATTTAAAGTGACAAAAGAAGGCACCAGTTGGGTGAGAAGCCGGTTGGATGGGTTTTTCTTTTTTAATATTTCGTAAGCAAATGGTCTTTGTTTTTGGGAGGACAAAGCCGTAACTAAACTTTGGACTCGAAAGTTAGGAGAAAGAGACTGAAAGCGGCATAGAGATAACAAGGGATAATTAAGGACATTTTAAAAGAGCTCCGAGGAAAAAAGCGTGGAGGAACCAAATAAAGCGAAGAGCTTCAAACGTTAATGAGTATTTGCTTCCGCTGGTTCCACCTCCCCCGACCATCCTCTCCCTAGTTGGATTTATTGTTTGTTGTCCCTCGGGCCTTTCGCCCCCCCCTGCTGGACTTTTCTCCTTCTCTATTTTATCCCCCTGCCCCTCACTGATATACTCTGTTTTTTAAGTTAACAACCGCATTGGACAGACGGGTGGATTTATCCCTATTTGCCGAAGAAGTAGAACTGGACTATAAAGTTAAAAAGTCAAAAGGGGCTTTGCCCTATAGACTGGAAGAAAAACAGATCTCTAATAAGATAATAGTGGCTAAACCGCCAATTTAAAACGGTCCTATAACTTAATAGGTTTATTGACTCTCACCTCAACAGACCTCGAGGAGCCTCCATTTAACAGAGTAATTTTAACAGTCTCATTTGTTTATACTGGTTTAAGTGGTCTAAATGGTTTAAGTGGACTACCCCAAGAAGGGACAAAGAACTCTGGTTGAAGAATTATTAGTTTGGTTTGCAACTACCCTCTGTTATATGGATTAGGCCAGCAAGTGGCTGAAGTTTGAAGAAAGTAATTTGGACTGCTTAGGAAATTAACCTCCCTAGTGTAAAAAAAGGAGGAGATTGTGAGCCCCTAAAGGGGAGAGACCTAGTGATAATATATATATTGGAAAGAAGGTTTAAAATGGCGGGGAAAAACGGGAAAAAGGTGGGAGGAACCCCAACAGATAGGAAGATGTCCAGACAGGAGGAAATTAAAGATCTTGATTATTTATGGATTAAAATCAAAGAAGAGTTTAAACAAAATGAAAGCCATCTAGAAAATAAGCTAGAAGAAATGCAGGAGATGATAGATAGGAAGATAGAGGGAGCTGTGGGGGAGCTTTCCGCTAAAATTCAGGAACTATCCGTTAAATCCAAAGCATTCGAGGAAACTAATAAAAAACTACAAAAAGATATGAGA